TGCACTATCCTTTCGATTGGAGCATTTCATGTAGACAAGGACATGGTAGACACTTATGTCTATTTTTGGTCATACATTGTCTATTCTCGACCAATACCACCTAAAATCGTCGTCATTAGCGGGCGCGACGTCGCACACGCCCACGGCGCGGCGAATCACGATTCTCTTGCCACATACCCAGTTTTCTCTGCGAACCTTTCACTTGACGACTCTGGTCGTCTGCGCTCTGAGTCTAATGGCAAGCCCAGAGTGGGGAAACGGGCACAAGCGCACGAACAAGTACCCTTCCGATTACCTTGCCCTATTTTCCCCTCATCTATCGTTATGATTAAAAGAGAATATAAGGATGCGCGGGTTTTGGCCCAGTGCCAGCCCCTTTCCATTGATCGCTGCGGCTTCGCACGTCGAGTGGTGGAAATGAGGATGGGACGCGCCAAAACACACGTGCCGCTGATACGCCCCGACTGACTTCAGTGAAAACGACGGTACATGCTGTAGTTGCTGCTGATCCTGCTCTATGAAACGATGTGAGTGTCGAAGGCTCAGCAATTTGTAAAGTAACCAAGAAGGCGCAATTTTTCTCCAAGTGCGTGTTTCGAAGGAACAGATCAGAAAAACTTTTGTATATCATACATGGGTAAATATGGCTAAAATGCAAACATGCAATAAATACGTTGTTTCTTTCAAGCTAAGTGCCCGTTGAAGATGGTGGGTTAATTCACGAGTAACGTGTGCGAAAAATCACACTACCTCTGGTAGACGACCATTTCTGGGTACCTATCGCACGCACATCACCTCACCAAACAACGACAACGGAAACTTCGGCTGAAAACGACTGTACTGCAGTAATCACAGACCTCGACGTATAGTTCAATAGGTGCAAATCGAAGCTTCTCGTGCAGACACCTAGTCTTCCTAGCCAGTTGACTCGACAGAGCGCTTTGGCTACATACCAAGGATAGCCCAAGTCCGTTGCAGCGTTTTTCACGGCCTCATCCCAAAAATCCCAACATTCAAAGTTGCTACCTTCCCTTTCGACCACTGAATAAATGAAAGCTGTTCTATATGTGAATTGTAGAATAGTAGACGTGATTAGAGTTTTCCAAAGTTCGAAATAGAAGAAGGAACTTATTGATTGCCTACGGTAGGGGATGCAGGCTGCCATACCTCTGATAGATTTTATGCCAAAGTCGAGTGTCGAGTGAACTACCTAGAATGCTGGTGTGCGCCGCGATCTCCTGAACAACGGTCCCGACCTTATCATAATGTCTTGTGGGCATACAGTCGCGGTCTTTACTGCATACAGCGTTGTTCGCTGCGGATCGTAGGGCGTGTCAATGAGGCCTGGTTTGGCACACTCCCAGCTCGTTCTTCACCACTTGTTAAACCGAGCAAACGACAAGAAGGTAGGTAGGTATAGGTAGGTGTCGTTCGTATCAGTCGTTTTCCGTCGACTGTCTGTTGCACGTTTCAACAACTGGTAAAGAACGAGCATATGGCGCGCTAAACACAGCCTCATTGACATGCCCCATCATCCGCAGCGAATAAGACTGAACATGTATGCGAAATCGAAGTAGTCGCCCCGCGACTGCACGCCCACTTTCCACTATGTACACACCGAGGTCAATGACTACTGCTGCGAAATTCATGCAGTAGTAATAAAATAAGTGAAAAAGTAAGTGAGAATACAATGGATTTTTTTACAGATTGGCAGTGAGTCGCTGTTGGAATATAGTACGTTCAACGGAGCAACTGTTGGCAATGTATGTATAGTGAGCGGATGTGAATCTGCAACTCCGTTTGAACTAGACGACTACAGTATACTATTCTCGTTATGTATTGGTAATCAACGTTATACAACAGTACTACTGTACATGGACGATGACGTAAAAGCAAAAAAGTCAAGCCTTTGTTGGATGAGTAAAGAGACCGGCTTGAAGGATGTATCACTATGGAATGCAAAGATATTTCCGGTCGAAAGTAGCAGAGAACGATCACTACAGGCGACGTTGGAGATGGCTAAAGGTATAAAATGGAGCGGTGAACGGATATCAATAGCAGAAGCGGTGACAAAAAGCGACGTACAGGAGATGGTGGCGTTCCGGCGTCGTCTGAAGACTGGCGTGCTCATGCGTCAACCTCTTTCTTCCGTCTCTCCATAATCCGCTGGTGCAACGTACGAGGACGACCTGGCGCCGCTGTGGTTAGTGGACTGTCGTTATCAACTTCACAACCGGCTCCAGCTTTAGGTGTGCTTCAAAAATGGTGATTACACAGGTCATTCTGATAAATGATAATTACAGAAGTATTAAATCCATTCCCGGGAGCTACAAAAATTGGGGGAGGGTGCTAGGCGGCGGGACTATGCCGTGTTACGTATTGCCACATCTCTCCTAGCAGTCATGTGCGCTGCGAATGCCAGGGTGTGTCTAGGGGGAGGGGACGAAGTTGGCGCGAACCAGGCACTTGTCACCATGTTTCGCTTGCCTCACATACAAACAATTGGTGATGGAACCCGTCGCGTCAAGACCAAGTCCTCCCCCCGAATCGCCCAGCATACGCAGCAAACAAAACCGTACTATGCCACTTTTTGGAGTAGATAGGACTCAGACAAGCACCATCGCGTGCACCTCTAAAATACTTTTACTACCGCCACTCAATGTACTGTCAAAAACTGTGATTAATATATTGCTAATCTCGTACGTTTCCATTTGAAATATTTCGACTGAATAAAGTTTTTATCAGGGAACATTTGTGTCGAAACAGCGGGTAACCCGCTGAAAATTCCAAGAGACAGACCGAAAAATACCCCTCTATCCCACTCCAAAAGGAAAAGGAAATTCCGAGCCTCCAATCTAATCTAAAGTACTTGAAAGAGTGCGTATGACAGCTCTCGTCGACAGCAGTGGACTGCCCTCTAATTATTATTGTTTGGCCTAATTAGCTAACACTTATCCCGAGTTTCCAAATTTTGCTACAACGGTTCAGCTATCTCAATTCTGTCGACGGGCTGGAAATTTTTGTGCATCTGAGGCATTTGAGTCACGAGGGGCTCAAGCGCGAGAAGTATTTTCCTTTTACAGAGATTTTATGAACTATCGCAAGAAAAAGCCCCACTTACGGCCCGATCGCTAAATGTATCTGCTTCTCCATGTTTTTCCAATTCAGGATCACTTTAGAATTCCCTAGGTTCTTTATAAGAAACTCTTACTATAAGTTCAGCGTAAAACTGAATGTCGAGACCAAGGTATTATACATTTGTGCATAGCTCGTCGGATTACGGCAATCCATTATTGGCTAATGCCGTTTGGACTCCAGAAATTTCGGCTCCGAGCTCATTTTAAAAGTGACAAGATCACCAAATTCGCTAAAAACTTGTATATAGGGGATAATTCAACATCCTGATCACGAATATGACATTCATTTTTGGCGCTGGCGCTAATGGATGACACTACATGCGCTCTGCTAAGGTGAGCCCAGGAGGTAATCATCAGTGTCCTCATCTCCCATATTGTAATACATAGTGTCCTCTCTCCATTCACACCTCCTGATTACGAGTATGACCCATTCTTGCGCCAGCCGCCAAGAATCGAGTGTGCAATCATACTCGTAATCAGGATGTTGAATTACCCCTATATACAAGTTTTTAGCGGATTTGGTGATCTTGCCACTTTTAAAATGAGCTCGGAGCCGAAATTTCTGGAGTCCAAACGGCATTAGCCCCATTATTGCACGGAATTTATTGAAGCTGCTATGTGTTAGGAACTTTGTTCCACTGTTCCTCGCTTTTCTCAACTAGACGGCATTTAGCGCTAGAAGTACCAAGGTACCAAATAACGACTTATGAGCCACGGAAAACTTCCCGCCCCGGGAGTTTTGACCAAATATTGAGGTGGAAGGGGCTCCGGGACTTGTGAAGTACTGCACTCATACGAGCTCGTTCCCTCTTGAACTCAAGTGGTAACCTGTTTCTAACCATTTACACAGCGAATAACAGAAAAAAAACTAGTTGGTGAGGAGCTCACCTATTCACCTCGATAGGTGTTCGATCTATGTCAGCCGTAGGAGAACGAGGATCGATATTGAGGATTTTTCTGCAGTCCTTTGGAGTGCCATCCTATAACCGAACTGTTAATGACATTGCCATAGGCCAATATAGATGTTAAACGTCATTAACCAGTGTGGTGTCACCCTCAGACACGAGTGAATAATCCAATCTTGCTGAAAGCCACTGTCCCATGGATACGTAGTTATACCTGAGGTAGTTCTTCCTGAAAAGGAAGACATTAGCTTTAGTCTGAATAAGGACGAAAGAAGGCAAAAATGATAATGGGCAGCGTTTACACCACCATAAATAGCCACAGCAAAAAGTGCACTTTTGAATTTGAATTTCGCGCCCAGCCGGGAGCGTGTGGTGGAGCGTCGTTGAATTTTTTTAGTGTGGGTGGTCCGGATGATTAATGGCTTCGTGCTGATTACGTCGGCAATCAATTGATTTTCTTTGTTTATTTTGTGCTGGGACATACTTTTTCCGTATACAGCAGCTTTCAACAAAAAATTAATGAGTAGTCGCTTGGTTGAGTTGAGAAACCAAGTGGTGGCCATTACTCAGCAACAACGAGCGGGAGACGCTTAGAAATTATTGTTGAGTCAGTCAGTGCTAACTACTCAGAACGGCAGCGGAGGAGGAGGTGCAGCATGCGCGCAGAGAGGAGGTTGTCGTAAGCGTCAGAGACGAAGAACTAACTCGAAGGGAAGAAATAGGTTTTGCAGACGTTACAGAATCCTTCTTACGGAGGTTTTCGCGGTATCAGTGGAACTTTCGTGGTGCCTTTTTATCTTTCACATTGAACTTATCATTTTGTTAGATATGACTTATCAATTGTATTGTTTGACTGTGCGACGTTGGAGAGAGGGAGCTGTTACTGAACAGTAGCTCTCCACTATGAGAAGGAAGAAGGCTGTAAAAAGCACCTTGAATCCACAAGTGGTTCGTGTCGCGATGCACTAATTTTCCGCACGGGACGTTAGTTGTGTGCATCAGCTGATTCATGTCACTGAGGGTCACTGCGTGGAAATATCGGTCAGAGATTGTCAGGTGATTTTGCCCCCCAAATAGAACCGATTTCGCAGAATCTCGTGTGATTGCGGTTCAGTGCCCTTATCCGAGCATGATACTTTTCGCGCTGGGTTCAAATGGCGTTTACGCCGATATCGCTGTACCGAAATTCTTTAGGAGACGCCCACACCTGGTGTATGAGTGGGTTATTGATATGCCGTTCTGAGACTGATGAAACAAGCGCGCGGCTGAGACACCGAGGGGATAAACAATTTCTGAAATTGAAATGACATTTAGAGGTTTCAGTGGTTGGTTGTCGTAGGTTTTCGTCTCATTGGCAAGTCGTGTGTTCGAAAGCCTTTTTGAAACCAGATATTCATTCAAGTCGTTACCACGCAGCTTCCTTTCCAAAAGTTCAAATAACCTTGCAGATATTCTGCATTTGGAATTCTGTTCATACCGAATATTGAAATTCGGCATTCAAAAACAGCAAATTTCGAATTTTGCTTCTCATTATACTATCTCTTATCTGTACAACCTCAAGGCTTCATGTGATGAAGGCGCATCAGTTGAATCACCGGAGCATTTTGGTGCAATAGTTCGTTGGATTACGGTGGTCCCAACTCTGCACAAAGCTTTTGAGATACAAAACTTTACGAGCTTCTTTTTGGCGCCATTTGCTTGACTTGAACCAATACCACAGGTATATTGGAATAGCACCCTGTTGTTTATTTATGTCCTACCCGAAGAGTACTTCCGCTGGGAAATACACTTCCATTCTTAGCGACGCTTTACGTTTCGGTTTTTTATGTACATTATTATTTGGATGTAACATGAGGAAAATTTGGACTAGTCTTGCATTTGAAAACCTGGGGTTCCAAATTTCTTCGCGAAGCTAGATCCTTGAATTATCAGAAGGTTCAGTCGGTCATCATCACCCAATTTCCTTCTTTCCGCTTTCATTTCCGCAGTTAGCTCGCCGCGTTCATACCGTGCGAAAGTTAAGAGGTGAGAATTGAAAAAGCCGCGCAGAAAACGCAGAAACTGATAAGAAATGCCATCATTCTTTCGCAGTTCGTTAATTTTTCGATTTTTCATTGCTACAGATGAGAGGCATGTAATATTTTTTTGCACATTCGCAAATTCGTCACTTCTAAAAAGTATTGGACGCGGCCTTGGGACGGTCTTGAGGACATATTGTGAACGGGATCTTTGTCATCCGAAGAAATTGAAAGTACTTCAATTTTGACTTTATTTCGAGTAGTATCCTTATGGTTACAACCTTTTTACAAAATTTTCTTTCGCCGAAATTTCAGAGGGGGTGATTCTAAGAAGTCGCTTAGTTTCCGTTTAGTTAGAAGCTGCAGTTTTAGTACAGAAAACTTGATATATCAGCGAATTTAGAATTTCAATTCCTGGCCTGCTATTTACAAAACTATTGCACTTTTTGTTACTGTTGATTAATGTGCCATTCTTATATTACTGATCATACTGTTATTCCAAAAACTTTGTAGGGAGAGAGTTTCGTTTCCTTGCAACATTCTCTATATATAAACCAGATGACGAATATTTTGTGAAACTTTCATGATTTCCGTAGAATTCCCATCATTCGTATGAGCAATGTGGACACAACTGTGAATCGATTCATCTCTAGTATTCGTTCGTTTTTCCTTTCTATTCGGGCAATCTCCTTTGAACGATCTTTATACGATTGTCGTATCCGCATAGAGCCTTCCAGGCGTTTTTACCTACGGCATATGCGTACGCACGTTCCCCTTATAGATACCGGTTCTCGATTATTGATTGTGGAATCGCTAAACTGCTGGTGGTGCTGACATCATGCCAAAACGGGTCGTTTCATTCGCTGATGACGTCGCTTCGGGATCAGGAACGTCCAGCAAAAGGTCTGCTCTAACCATTGAAGAAGCTGCTGAGGAGTATGATCTGCCTGATGGTGATGAACGAGAAGTTCAGGTTGGTTTTTTCTTGGAGTATTTTGGGCGCTGTTCGGCTTGGTGGGGGGCATCAACTAGAACTCAACGAAGCCTGTGTAGGCCAACTTGTGAGGTCCTGAATTCTTGTAACCAAAGCGGTACACGTGTACCACATCGCAGGTTCACGAGGGATTACCCGTTGATTAATATGCGCTAGTAAAAAGAACTAACGAAGGTGCCAAATGTCCCTACCAAGCCGAATAGCGCTATCATTTGTTATTTTATTATTCTTCTTCACTTTATTGAGTGATTATATCAGTGCTGAACAAACAGGTTAAATTTGCTACATTGAAGTTCACCTATCAGTCCCGAACCAGTTTTCTGAAAATCCTATGGTAAAAATGCTAAAAATTATTAGTCCGGTTCTAGTTTATAGCTCGGTTTGACCTGTTTTTCTTCTGATTGGTTTTATGTGGTATTAGTCTCATCTTTAAGCTAGGCAGCATGGTTGATCTTCCTCTTTGTTAGGAAAATTTCTACCGTTCGGTTTTTAAACTACCCGTTATGTTTTGCCACAGAATTTTTTAACGGGTTGAGATCGCATCCAAATGCCACCATTCTTTGAACTGGAGCAGTGTTCGCCTCCATCTTGAAAAGGAGTTGAGCAAAGGGTACAGCATCCTTGCATCCTTAGGAAAATCAGAAGTGTCAAGTTTGTATTTACGAAAAGTGGTTCTTCAATCCCCGATGAATTTTTTTTTTTGTTTTCTACTTTTAGCGGTTTTTCTCGTTTCTTGTTCGTTATATCCCTCCCCTACCGCTCGGCAGCACTTTTTGGGAAAGGGTAGGGAATTAGAATAACTCAAAAGGATAGTAGTTAGGATGGGGGAGGGGGGAGTGATCGGCAGGATTAGGAAGTCTGACAAGTAGCGAAAACTTTGTCATTTATCCTTTTTATCTCTTTAAAGCATAGAAAGCCACCAGGTGAGTCAAATGACTCCAGCGTGTAGCATATTTCTAACCATCATAATGTTATGTCTGTATAACATGAAAAACTTTCGTGGCTGAAACGTATTGCTTTCGCGCTATTATCCGGAAAAAAAATCAATTTATGAAATCTGCATTGTAACCAATGCGAAAAAGTGCATACGTCTAGTTATGGTGTACGTTGAAATGAATGGGGAAAGTGCGAAATGAGGATAGGGCGTACAGTCAAATCAATGCGAAAAACTGCCGTAGTGGGTCAGAATGTGCATTGAAGTCGATGCACCTGCATTCGTTGGGTTGCTACCTTGTCGAATTGTGAGTTTCGTGTGATTTGAACGGGTTTCTTGGTTATCGTTATTCATCTTCTCAGCTATTGACAGAGATAGTAGATTTCAGTTCACATCCATACTGTCCCAGTGAAATCAAGGGTCCTTAAAAGAGTGCTAAGTTATGGGCAGAAGTTTTGACCTTAGGCGGAAATTAGACCCATATTTCGTGCTTGCTTGGCAAGGCGCTTTATGCTCGCCGCCTCTTACCCTTTTAGCTTGTTTTTATACTAGTAAAGATAAAAACTCAATAATAAAGGCGAAATCAATGGTCTCTTCTGGGAAAACTCTACCAGTTCCTGATTTCCTGATGTTTCCCTTCGAAAAAACAGATCTGGAACTTTTTACGCATCTCTTTTGAATTTCATTACAATTCATTATGTTAGTAGAACACCCGTGCGTACGATCTATTGGGTCGGCCCGTAAGTCATGCGGTTTTTTTTTTACTTAAAGGATCAACTACATTATGAAATAGCAACTGATGGAAAACCCAGAGAAACCGTCAAGCTACCGGACGGGTAGAGCTTGTTTCATGATGTTTGTGACATTTGAATAGATAAACGGAAATGCTGTTCGTCGATTTTGATGCCCGCCTTGAAAAATGATCCGGGGTTCAATTGCCGGCTGAACTCATTTGAGTGCAATAATGACCCGTGATGTTGCCAAAACATTGAACTTGGCATCCCCCAATTGAACTTGGCATCCCCCAACTTCTTCCACTTCGACTGAGTTCCCTTGTATTGATTCTTTTTAGTCTGGCCAGTGTTTGCCTTGGCGAAATTGCTGCGGACATCAACTCATAATTAGTTTTCCTTTTTTATTCAGTCAGGCCCACAAAGAGGCGTCTTTCCAGTCTTTCCGTTTATCCTAGAATTCTGTATAGCGTTAATTCTTGAAGGGAAATCATATCTATGTTAGGGTTCCCTTCACTTGAAAAACCTCATTTTCTACCGAGGACTTGTTCATTTGTTGCTGCTCAGCAAACATTGATTTCAAGCGGTATTAGCGCACTTCAAGATTGCCGCTGCCTTGAAGTCCATACTTAGTCCATATTCCCTTACAAAGAGTCTACCTAAGGTCAGCTGAATAACGTTCACTGTTCTCTCCATTTCTTGAGCGCAAAACTAAGTCGCTTCATCATATCGAACCTCCCATTCACAATATCCTAGGGTACTGAAAAGCTCCATGCTGGTGCCTTACTGGTGGCCCAATCTCGAGTTCTTACCAGGTTCTTACCAGGGAAGTGCGCCAAGTTCCCATGGACTGACAGGAGAGAGAGACCTGGGTAGGTTGATAGAGTCTATAAGGTTATTTACAAATATAGGTAG